GGATTTCCTATAATAATCTGTAAATGTTTTGTTTTATGCATGTTCCTCTGTTTTTCCCCAGAAGTTAGAGGCAGTTTATTCCCTGATGTCTTTCAAATTAAAAAACAATTGCTGATTTCACTCGCTTTTCCCTCTCTTCAGACGTCCCTCCAATCCCGTCCTTCTCTGTAAATTTGTGTAGAGAAGTGCAAAGTTTGATGTAGCTTGAAACGAACCACCATTTTTTTTTTAAATCACCCAAAACAAATGTAAGAATAGCAGCAAGATACACAGATCTGGTCACTGGCACCCAAGATGACATGCCAAGAAAGAACACTGCTCTGCTGGACACCAGCTGACCTGTTAGAACAAGAAAACGAGCATCACATCATACAAAATTTCAGTAAGTCCCAATAAGATGCCTGTACAACATATGAGAAACTGCAGAATTTATGGGTAAAACTAGTTGGCCTTTGCAAAAGTAAAAGAAAGGTGAAAAATCTATTTGCATATGACTCTTCGTTTGATATTGATGAAATAGCTTTTGGGGTCCCAGTATGAGCCTAAAAGCACTTCCCAAACCCAGCTGCAATGTATAGAAAATGATTCCCAACACACTGTTCGGCTGGTTCAACACACTTTGGAAGTAAAGATCTGGACAAGCCCAAATCCACGTCCGCATCTGAGAAAGTTCCACCAATCCATCAGTTGATAATTGTCACGGTCTGTGGTTGTAGTGACGCACACAGCAATAGAGGTAAATGGAAAATAACAGTCTTTAATCAGACTTCAAATCAGGACAAATACCAGGAGCAAGGAGAACCACTAAACATCAACGCAAGACAAGGGAACGGAGGAAAACACAGGGCTTATAAACACATGAAACTTAATCAGGGAGAACAGAAACAGGTGAGGAGTAATCCAGGATATTTAATAGAACACAGCTGACACAAATGGAACTTAATACAACAGGAATCAAACCAAATAAGGACCACTAGGAACATACACGTGACATTACTCCCCCCTCCGTAACAGTTACACCGGGGGGGGGGGGGCCCTGGAGGCTGGTGCAGGGCAGGAACAAGGTGGAGACAAGGAGAGCCTCCAGGGTGGATCAGGGTCCATGGCGGAGCAGACAATTCAGGTTGCCATGGCGGAGCTGGCAGCTCAGCGGGGCCATGGCGGATCCTCCGTGGCCTTAGCCGGCTCGGCCACGGATATATGCCCCCCCCCCAAAAAATTTTCTTTGGGAAAACTAGGAATCCTGGGGGGGCACTCTGGAGGAGCGGGTACTTGAGGGCGCTCTGGAGGGCACTTTCGAGGAGCGGGCACTGGAGGGCGCTCTGGAGGTGCAAGGCTGGTTACCTCGGGGGAATCAGAAGACAAAGGAGAACTTTCCGGGGATGATTCCGGGGTGAGGACAGGAGCCAAAAACTCCGGAGGCAGCGCCATGTCCAGAAGCACCAAGTGCCTGACTGATGATTGGCCGGCCGTCTTGACTTCCGAGTGGCCGGCGAGCGAGACTTCAGAGCGGCCGGCACTCCTGGGCTGAGGACTACAGTGGAGCTTCGGAAAGTTTGGGGAGACCTGGGTTTTGGCAAGTGGTCGGAGCCCTTGGTGAGGTATGTGGGGGTTCCTGGCATGGGGTGAGCTGGGGAAACACAGAGAGCTCCTGAGGGGGCTGGATGAGGAGAAGGATTGGAGTTTCTCCTTCATTACTTCCACTTCGAAGTTTGAACCATTTAAATAAAGAACAAGATTAATCAGCTTGATCAGGGGGAAAAAATTAAAAATAAAAATCACACACGGGGAGATCGTAGCGGATTGTCTCATCATCCAGCCCCAAAAGAAAGCACGCACCTAGAGCAAAGTCATGCCAGCTCACCCCGTTGGAAAGCGCGAGGAATTCCTCCACATATCTCTCCAACGCCCGACCACTCTGCCGCAGCACACCCAGTCGGTCCTCAGCTGCAGTCATCTTGCTTGTTTCGGGTCTTGCGTTCTGTCACGGTCTGTGGTTGTAGTGACGCACACAACGATGGAGGTAAATGGGAAAATAACAGTCTTTAATCAAACTTCAAATCAGGACAAATACCAGGAGCAAGGAGAACCACTAAACAACATCAACACGAGACAAGGGAACGGAGGAAAACACAGGGCTTATAAACACATGAAACGCAATCAGGGAGAACAGAAACAGGAGTGAGTAATCCAGGATAATTAATAGGACACAAATGGAACGTAATACAACAGGAATCAAACAAAATAAGGACAACTAGGAACATACACATGACAATAATGAATATTTTTTGCATGCAAATATTATTTGCAGGTTGCATAAAACAAAACTTATTTGCAAAGAATTAGGTAAGATACTACAGGCAAAAGCATTGTTTTTTTCATTCACTAGTCAATTTTGAGATTTAGGCCTGTTTAGCTTGTCATAACATTTTTATTCCTATTTATACTACAATTTAATACTTTTTTTAAAAAGTGACTTTTATTTTTGTTTTAATGTGTTTTCTGATTTATGACATGATAAAACAAAAAGAAAATTAATCAAAAATTCTGAACCTGGATTTATGCAATGCAAATGCAAATTTGTGCATATTTAATAAGGTAATGCATAATTTGCATATTTAAACAATTCCAAAAACTTATGCAAAAACTACTTGCAATTCATTTTGCAATCAATCAGCTGGGGAAGTAAGGTGATATCTAGGTGATATCTATGATATTGTCTAGGTGATATCAAAATGCATGAAAACTGCCAGAACTGAAATTAACGCATTTACCTGAATGTGAAGTCTTTAGAGCAGCTGACGGAATGGCCCAGGTCGCACATCGAGCGATATTCGGGATTGGTCTCCCGGGACAGTTCAACATGTAGCGCATAAACCGACAGGACTAAACCCAGAAAACACAGCGGACGCGATATTCCCATTTAGGAACTCGCATAGAGGATTGGCTCGAGGACATTGCAGTGACAATTTTGACAAATTACGTAATTCACAAAAGCCTTTTTTGTAGACTAAAATGTTTCCATTCTTAAGCCACGTTCACACCGCCAGCGACACACAGCGACAGAGCGACATAATCCCATTCATTTTCAATGGAGAGCTGGCGACTTCCGGCGACACGAGCGACAGTGATCGTTGGCGACGGAATGTGGGCGTGTCAAGCGATGCGAGTCAAGCGACAAAAGTTTAGAATTCTTCAACTTTATGCAAATAAGCAGCGATTTTGAAAGGCGACAACCAATGGGAGTGAAGTCAGTGGAGAGCACGTGATTCATCTGCTGTAGTGGAGTGTTACAGGGGTAACTAGGCAACCAGTAGTGGGAACGCCCTCTAGCGACCTCAATTGCCAGCTACAAGCGACAAGCAGCGAAAAAGTCGCTGGCGGTGTGAACGGGGCTTTAAAGGTGCTGTATGTAGGATTGACACCGAGTGGTTGAACTAGGTATTGCAGTCCAAATTCAAAATATTGGAGAGGGTTTTTTTCACCCGGCCCCTCCTCCTCAGACGCCAACGCAGGTTGCCAGTTTGACGACACCAACAGGAACGAGCGCACTTGACGATGAATGAAATACGTTGTGTTTTCCGCCAACTGGCAACCCGGGATGCCGAAATACAATTGGATAAACTGGCAGTGGGCGGGTTTCACAAACCAAAACAGAGACCCACATTCCGGCACGAAACGCACATTTTCAAAGGAGAATAACTGACTGTAGCATTGTTTTTCAGATGAACAAGTATGTTAACTTAGCATATTTCGTGCAAGGATTGGTTTTCTCCATAGACTGTATGGTTTTCTCCCATTCAAATTTAAATCTGCCACAGCACTCTTATACTTTGAACCTAAGCACTGGGATTGGTCCGTACTGATCTGCGCTGAGAAAAGTATCACTTAACAACGCCCGATTGAAACTCCGACTCACAGGCGATCACGTGCACTGAAAAAAAGAGCTTTAGTAGTCCAGGTGATATGTGCAAAATATTCGGTGATATGTTCACTTTTTCATAAAAGCATCAAACTTGGTACAATTGTACAGGTTAGGGCCCTGAACATTTACAGAAATGGAGCCATCACAAAAACACCTCGTGCTTGCCATGGCGACCATTTTACTTTCCTCCATAACCAAATGATGTATTTTGTGTCAAACCTCCTGAACCAAACATGATAACACAGAAAAGGTTATGTCTACCCCTATGTTTTGATGGTCAAGGATCACAATGATATCACAATGATATCATATACAAAAACATAGATGAAACGATGGGTTTGATGGAACCACAAGCAGTTCTGTCTTGGCAAGGTTGAGTTGAAGGTGATGGTACTTCATCCAGCAAGAAATGTCTGTTAGACAAGCTGAGATGCGAGCAGCTATCGTCGGATCATCAGGATGGAATGAGAGATAGAGTTGAGTGTCATCAGCATAGCAGTGATAAGAAAAGCCATGTTTCTGAATGACAGAACCTAGTGATGCCATGTAGACAGAGAAGAGAAATGGTCCAAGAACTGAGCCCTGAGGCACCCCAGTAGTTAGATGTTGCGACTTGGACACCTCACCTCTCCAAGATATCTTGAAGGACCTATCTGAGAGATAAGACTCAAACCACTGGAGTGTGGTTCCTGAGATGCCCTTTGCCAGTAGGGTTGACAGGAGGATCTGGTGGTTAACCGTGTCAAAAGCAGCGGACAGATCCAGCAAGATAAGTATTGAAGATTTGGAATCCGCTCTTGCCAGTCTTAGGGCTTCAACAACTGAGAGTTGAATGTCCACTTCTGAAACCAGACTGGTTGCCGTCAAGGTTGTTCTGTGTGAGAACATTTCTGAAAATGTTTAGGGCTGCAAACTATTCAAAGTGTTTTATATTCGTAATAGTTGTTATTATTTCAAACAAACTATAAACATGTGTGTGCGTTACATGAAAGTGGGGCTGTTTTTGAAATACTGTAAATTATTTTCGATTAAAAGGAAAGTGCATTAACTGTGCATGTCCAAGAGAAGTTTAGAGTCCATAATAATAATAAGCTGAACAGAAAGTAAAATCTGTCATCTTTAACCATTTTCTGAATGTTTTGTTTCAGAATGTCAACCAATGAGAGGGACGAGACAGATGACACCCAAGCAGTGCCGGCCCGAAAAGCCTCCGAGGGCAGTAACAGGAGAGAGGGCAACAATGACAAGAGCCATCACAGAGACGTTACAGAAGGTCCCTCTCAGCCTAATGATGCAGATGCAAATACTGTCGCTGATAAGAACTTGGCTCTACTTAAAGCCCACTCCCTGGATGTGAAGTTTGAAGTTGGGGAAGAATATGACATTATTGAGACCATTGGTACAGGTGCTTATGGTGTGGTCTCATCGGCCCGGAGACGAGACAATGGTGAGGGTGCCAGGATACATTTCAAAGACTTAAAATAATTACACTAAATCTTTGATGTCAGAATTCATTATTTGTATTATTATTATTATAAATGGCTAATTATTTTAGTTTTTTATATAGTTATTAATATATTTTTTATTACAACATTATTAATTTATAATAGTAATTATTACTGTTATTAGATCATTAATATAAAATCATGTATTCTTGTTCATTATTGTTAACAGAGAGAATTAAGCAAGAATTAATTTAGTCTCAGAATCTTCTTCTTTTTTTTTTTTTTTACATTTTTATTTCTTTCAAATTTTTTTTTATTTTTCTGCTCAACATGCATAAATGTAAATTGTATGCACCCAGTCCACTATTTTTTTATGTAACAGCGGACGCTTGGCTTCTGGTGTAACTTCCAGTTATTTTAGATGTACAAAAATTGCCTGTTATGATGCTTGATGTTGCAAAATGTATTTGTTTTCATATAATTAGAATTTATTATCGTAATCACAAACACACTAGTTTGTAGTGCAAATAGTTTTACTGTTTACTCTTATTCTTCTAGTCATTTTCCTATAGCAACTATTGAATCGGAAGACTTGCACATTCACAGAAAATAGCTTACTTTTGAAAATAAGGTGTATATCTGTTCATTGTAAATTTCTGTATCTGTTTGGATAGATACATATGATAGGATGTCTAATATCTGAACTTATTTATGCTTTCAGGCCAGCAGGTGGCAATAAAGAAGATCCCTAATGCCTTCGAGGTTGTGACGAATGCCAAACGCACGTTGCGAGAGCTCAAGATTCTCAAGCACTTCAAACACGACAACATCATTGCCATTAAAGACATTCTCCAGCCGATGGTCCCTCACTCGGCTTTCAAATCAGTGTAAGCTTGAGTTCAAAGCAGCAAGCATATATTCTCTCTTCATATTTAATGTGCTAAAAGTGTCTCTCATTCTTTAGGTATGTGGTTCTTGACCTTATGGAGAGTGACCTGCATCAGATTATTCACTCCTGTCAACCTCTGACCCCAGAACACACACGCTACTTCCTGTATCAGCTGTTAAGAGGCCTGAAATACATTCACTCAGCCAACGTCATTCACCGGGATCTCAAGCCGTCCAACCTGCTGGTCAACGAAAACTGCGAGCTGAAGATTGGCGACTTTGGCATGGCACGCGGATTAAGTGTGGCCCACTCTGAAGAGTCACGTTCCTTTATGACCGAGTATGTGGCCACCCGTTGGTATCGCGCACCTGAGCTCATGTTGTCGCTTCACCACTACAGCTTGGCCATCGACCTCTGGTCTGTTGGCTGCATCTTTGGTGAGATGCTCGGCAGGAGGTATATGTTTCCAGGGAAGAACTATGTGCATCAGCTTCAGCTGATTCTTTCAGTTTTGGGAACGCCGCCCGAGAGAATCGTCGTCTCGATAGGGTCGGATCGGGTGCGTTCTTACGTGCGAAGCCTCCCATCAAAAGCGCCAGAGCCGCTTGCAGCACTGTATCCGCATGCTGAGCCCAGTGCATTGGACTTGTTGGGCGCAATGCTCCGATTTGACCCTCGCGAGCGGATCAGTGCATGTCAAGCCCTCGAACACCCTTACCTCGCCAAGTACCATGACCCAGATGACGAGCCAGTGTGCGTTCCTGCCTTCAATTTTGAATTTGACCGGCAGCCAATGGGCAAAGAACAAATCAAAGAAGCTATACTAGTAGAAATCCAGGACTTTCATAAGAAGAAGCAGGGCATCAGGAAGAAGATACAGTTTAAACCACCCCATTCTAGTTCGGCGGGGGTTGGGGTGTCAGGTAGCACCCTTTGCGTGGCTCCACAGTCTCAATACTTGACGGAAACAGCACAAACTCACACAAATCTCAACTTCAAACCGACAGACACTACACAAACTCAAACGAATGCAAACTCGTTTCAAGCTCCACATCACCTTACTCAAATTCTGCCACATTTGGCTCAGGAAAGCTGCCAGGATGTGGACATGCCCAGCGCGAACTCCGACGGCCAGCCTGAAACCATCGATCTGACCACTCCCACAGACAAGGAAATGTCGTTTACCGAACCGGTGACGAACTGCGCAAAGGAGGAGCTTGTCTCGTCCAATCAAATGCTTCCGTCCCACCCCATCTCTCAGACTCCGCCCACTTCAAGTCTTTCTCAGTCGATGCCTTCACTCTCTCTCACACAGTCCCAGGCTCAATCGCTCTCTCAAAATCTCACACGTTCCCTGGGGAAAGGAGGGAAAGCGACAACCGGGGAAGGTACAAAAAAAGAGGGAGCAATTTCAGAAGACACAAAAGCAGCTCTCAAAGCTGCCTTGCTTAAATCAGCACTAAGGCAGAAGGCTCGAGGTGAGAGTTTGCAATGTGTATGTGGCCATATATTGCTTAACATTGAGTGTTTTTTTAAATTAGTTGCCACAGACCCCGAGATATGATGATCCCCATGCAAGGAACTATATAAAAAACAACTATTTATAATGTTTATCTTATATATACACACTAACGGTTATAAGTTGTGTATCTGTAAGATTTATTTGTTAATTTTTTCAAAAATAAATTAATACTTATCCAGCAAGGATGTATTGTATTAATCAAAAGTGACAGTAAAGACATTTACAATATTACAGAAAATGTATATTTCAAATAAATGCTGTTCTATTGAATTTACTATTTATCTATTAGTATCCACAAAAATATTAAACAGCACAACTGTTCTCAACATAAATATTAAGAAGTTCTTCTTGAAGACAGGAGTAATGGCTGCTGAAAATTCAGCTTTGCATCACAATAATAAATTACATTTTAAAATATATTTAATTAGAAAACAGTTATTTCAAATTGTAATAATATTTCACAATATTACAGTTTTTTTTGTATTTTTGATCAAATAAATGCAGCCTGGTGAGCATAAGAGACCTTCAAAAACAGTTAAAAATCTTACAGACCCCAGACATTTGAACGGTAGTGAATTTATATATGATATATTTTTTAAAATATTATATATTTAATGTTTATTTTTATATACTATAATTATTATATGTATAAAATATTCATTCTATTAAGTTCATACTGCCTCTTTTTTCCGGTTACAACCCTGAATAGAAAATTCTGTAAACTTGTACGTTTTCTTTTCTTATGATATTATTTCTTTCTTTACTTTTTTTTTTTCAATGTTTATCCAATTTTTCTACATTTTTTCTGAGTAATGACAAGTTCTGTCATGTCAATAATGTACTGATTCTCTGCAGCTCTTGGTATAGATTTAATCAGAGGATCTGCTGGAGGTTTATCCTCATCCCTCTCTTCCTCAAACTCTGGTCCAGAGCAGAGGAAGACAGTCACAGCCCAGGAGAGACAACGAGAGAGGGAAGAGAAGCGGAGGAAGAGACAGGAGCGTGCGATGGAGAAAAAGAGGAAGCTGAAAGAGAAGGAGAAAAAGGTGGGAAAACAAGGTGAATCTTTGTGCGGCGTTTTACTCAGCGACAACGACAAGAAGCTGTTGGAGCGCTGGGGGCGAATGATGGACAATCACGTGGATAAACCGCAGACCGCGGAAACCAATAGTGCCAAAACTGGTGAGAGTAAGATAGTCCAAATCCAGCCAGCAAAAGGAAGCAATGTCGTAAAGACAAACTCAGACGGGGGAGAATCAATGCCACCAAAACAACCCAGCAGAGTGCAGGCTTTCAGACCCCCACAAATGCTGCCTCAAATGGGACAGTGTTTGGCAGCTGGAATATTCCATCCAAAACCGACACATGATGCACCGTCCGTCTCTTTAGGTCCAGCTCAGAATGGAGACGATGGGATAGTTGCTGTAGGAGGAGGTGAAAGTGTTGGTGTGATAACCACCCCATGTGCCTTTGCCAAAAACATCACATTAAAACCTCCGTTTCTGACTGTTGGAACAATGTTCGCCGGTCTTGGGAACTGGACAGGAACATCTCAGCACCAACCCCAGAAGACCCACCAACCTCCCCCAGAACTGAATAACCCTGCACACACGGGCTTCACGCATATGCAAACGCAGCCGAAGCCCGTCACGCATGCACAGTCACAGTCCAACGCTCACATCCAGCTGCTGCCGCTGGAATCCTTTATGACCAAACCATCAGCTCTGAACCCCAGAATTGGCGTTTCGGACACCAGCACGTCTCTTTCCAATCCAGAGACTGGCAATGGTCCTCAAACCCTGGACAAACTTTGCATTTTAGAGGAGCGACAAAATGGCTCTCATACACAGGGCCCTTCAAAACAGCCTCCAGGAGCTGCAGCTCAACCCTGCCTTGGTCTCACTGACACGGGACAGCCGGCAAACAGCATCCCTGACATCCACACAGTCACACAGCAGCTCTCAAAGTCACAGGTGAACGTTTTAATTATAATATATGACTCTTTGCCTTCTTTCAATGTAAGCAATGGTATTTTTTATTATTATTATGCATTTTTATTTTCTTCAAGGTGAAAGTTTGATTGCTTAGAAACCAGTCGCTTACCGAACTCCAGCACTCCGACTTCAGGGAAAGGTCAGTTCAGATCCCGGTGACCGCAAAGTGCACGCTCTGTTTTTGAACTGTACATCACTGCCAATTACAGTACTTGACTTTAACGTACATTTCAATGATCTCAATTCTCTGTTTCATTAGTCACAATGACTTGGCCCCCCTGTCTGCGTCCCTGCTCTCTGATTGGCTGGAGGTACACCGCATGACCCCTGCTGACATGGAGTCACTTCAGCAGGAGCTCCAGCTGGGATCTCCCATGATCCTCTCTGACAACTCAACGCTTCCTGATACTTGATCAGTCCATGCATTTGGTCTCCATCCCCTTGTAGAACCGGTTGAGAGCGGTGAACAGAGGAACATGATAGCTGTATTGTGCACCAGTATACGTTGGAGAGATGTATTTTTGAGGCTCCAAATTATTAAGACCTTTACCTAGAACCTTACCCAGAAAAGTGCCTTTATCTTTAATGGGTTTGAATGCATTATTTATTTGTGCCAACATTAAAGTATGATGCTCCGTTCGGTTCTTAAGGGGTTTCCATTCTCAGAATTTCAGTGCCATTATAAAAAACCAGGGAGAAGGAGTTCAGTTCAACGGTGCTAGTGCCATTGATTTGCCAATATCACTCCATTCTGCTGATTTTACAGAATAAGTCAGTTGAAATAGTACGTTGTTTAGCAGACGAGTGTTTAAAGCTATTTTCTAGTACACTACAGTAGGAGTCACCAGCAGGGCAGTAGTATTACGGTGGATGAAACACAGCAGAGCACAATGACATAATGACTGTAGAAAGTAGAAAAGCATTTCATTTGATGTTGCATGAATGTCTTGTAGAAAATAGTGAAATTTACTGCACCACTTGCAGATTTGCTCCGTTTTACACCAGCAACAAGAGTATTTTCTTGAATAAAGCTATCAAAGGGATTCATGTGTCGTTTAATGATGGTATTCTTTTGCAGTGTTCATATAGTGTATCAGACAAAATCAACATTTATGACATTTAAAACGGCCTTTTAAAACTCAAAACTCACTTTCAGACACCAGCGAGTGTCTGAAACAACTTCTGATTACAATCCGATGGGGATTCAGATTACAGTATGAGGCAGAAATAATTATTTATAGATTTGTATGCTAACCATTGCCATAATAAATACACATTATTCTTATGAAAATACCAGAGACCACTTAAAGAACGAAGGCAAATCCTGATTGTAATCGTGAATTAATAAGATTTCATAAATAGAAGGCACTTAGTAGTAATATTGACCTTGAATAAGCCCCGCCCCCTTTGTTACTCTTATAAAACTGTATTAATGCAAAGCAATGTGATTAAAAACTCAAAGTGAAAATTTATTATTTATAAGTGATTGCACAAATTACATCTAAAACCTGAATCAATATATCAATTATTTTACATTTCCCTGGAGAAAATGTAGGCGTTTTACCGATGCTGAATGCACATTAACAATATTTTAATTTTTGTAATAATTTATATAAAATTATGATTAAATGAACCTAAACACAAATCTTCCATAGACTTGCTTTAGAAAAAGAGCAGAAGTTTATCTGACAAAATCATAATGCCAGACAGCAACAGTTGCTATGATAGGATTGGTCGATTCACCGGTGTTCACCTCGAAATATCAATGACAAAAATCATTTTATTACAAAGTTTTATTTACAGTATTTTAAGAGAAACGGTCACCAAGAAATACAAATATACAACTGGCTGACTCTAGAAAAGCATGAAATCCTTCACATCATAAACATCTAATTGCACGTGTGAACTTGACACTTTTACATGTCCTGATATAAAAGTAAATAATAACATTTATAATTGCTGTGCAAAAGGCTGGATCAAATAAGTGTCCATTCATATTTTAGTATGCATCAAGAGTATGCGTTCAGCTGCCCATGAGAACAATTTCGGTTTAAAATTTGCATTATTTGCACAGTTGAATTATGTGGATTCATCGCAGTGTTAATCATTACAGTTTAAGATGGTTAAAATAATATATTAACAATCAAGTGAGCAGGTAAAAGACATACGTTTATCTTTTATTTCAAATCATTCAGTGTGTCTTTATGTGTATTTTTGGTACAAACCAAATTGGAAAAAATAATATAAAGTTGTTTAAAAAAACTGATTAAAAAGCTACTTATGGCATTCAAATCTCTCTTTATGTAGGATGGTAATTTTGGGGCGGGAGTCTTTTGGCTTGTGCGAAGATCAGTGTGTGTTTATCTCAGCAGCTGCACCAATACTAGTAGCACCAGAGTCCTGATGAGCAACATGACCCGGTCAGCCCAGATGTGACTCGATGCGCTCTTGAGCTGGACTCCTCCAACATGGTTCTGGATGAAGTTAGTGAAGCTGGACACTTTGGCATAGACTCCTGGTCGGTTAGGTTTAGCGCAGCCAAGACCGAAGCTCACAATTCCAGCTTGCACCCAACTTCCGTCACTGATCTGACACACCAGAGGGCCGCCAGAGTCACCCTGAAAAAGCATACATGCAGAGATATATGAGAAGTGAAGGGTATTATGAACATTAGCAATGCATAAATAATCATGTTTTCCCCATGCAATGCTCTCCTCACCTGGCAGGAGTCTTTGCCACCTTGTTGGAATCCAGCACACATCATGTCATGGCGGATGTCAATGTTCTCTGTGGGGTTTATCAGAAACATATCCTGACAAGTCTTTGAGTCAATAATTGGCATTTGAACTTCCTGCAACGCCCCAACGCCCTGCAGAGCAACTGAACAAGACATGAGAAACCACAAGATTATTCACTGTGGGGAAAGAAAAAAAAACGCAAGAAATTGCTTTTGTGTCTTTGTACACGCTGAAGGAACGAGAATTTCTTTATTTATTGTATGTAGCAGTTGACAATATTCCACACAAGATGCATACACTACTGGTCAAAAGTTTGGAATAATTACATTTTTCTTTCAAGGCTGCATTATTTGATACAGTAAAAACGTTAATATTGTGAAATATTACTACAATTTAAAAATGACTGATTACTATAGTAATATACTTTAAAATGTAATTTATTCCTGGGACAGAAAAGCTCAATTTTTAGCATCATTAATCCAGTCTTTAGTGTCACATGATCCTTCAAAAAATCATTACCAATTATTATGGGTGCTTAATTATTAATAATGTTTATTATGATTATTAATGTTGAAAAGAGTTTTTGCTGCTTAATTTAGTGGAAATCATGAGCTTTTTTTTGCTGAATTTTAAGAAATTCATTTGATCCATTTTAAATATTACTTAGCCCACAATTTTGGTAGTGTATCACAGTTTCCACAAAAATATAAAGCAGCACGATATTTTCAACATGAATAACAATAAGAAATGTTTTTTGAGCAGCAAATCAGAATGATTTCTGAAGATCACGTGACACTGAAGACTGGAGAAATGATGCTGAAAATTCAGCTTTGATCACAGGAATAAATTACATTTTAAAATATATTCAAGTATAAAACTGTTCTTTTAAACCATAATATTATTTCACAATATTTCTGTAATTTTGAGCAAATAAATACAGCCTTGGTGAGCATGAGAATAACGTGCGCCAATGAATTGTGCTCAATAAGACCATACATTTGCATTAAGAAAGTAAATAGCAGGGATGAACAATATATTGGTACCACATCAATTATCAGTTGATACTGATTATGTGATTGCACATACCCATTTCCTTTATTTTTACATTTTAGACCACCTTTGCGGTCATCCAACACGTCTATTTTCCAAGCGATCCAATATAAATCAAGCCCCTTTTTCTGATTCTGTTTCACACTAAATAAAATGGCTTGCAAACAACAGTTCATGAGCAACTTTAATTGTACACATTTAGACACCTTTACTGTCATCCATCACACTTAAAAGGGTTAATTCACCCACAAATGACAATTCTGTTATTGATTACTAACCCTCGTGTTGTTCAAAACCCGTAAGACCTTCGTTCATCTTCTGAACACAATTTAAGATATTTTTGATGGAATCTGAGGGCTCTCTGACCCTCCCATAGACAGCAAGGTAACTACCACGTTCAAGGTCCAGAAAAGTACCAAGATGATCGACAAAGTAGTCCGTGTGACATCAGTGGTTCAACTGTAAACTTACGAAGCTACGAGAATACTTTTTTTGCGCAAAGAAAACAAAAATAATGACTTTATTCCACATTTTCGTCTCTACTGCGTCACGTCAGTCATGACGCGAGCGTGTGGCGGCACTGACCCAGATCCGGTGTAATGACGTCATCATGCTGGATCTGGGTCAGCGCCGCCACACGCTCGCGTCATGGTACTGTCGTGAACGCGCGTCCAAAGTGACGCAGTAGAGACGAAAATGTGGAATAAAGTCGTTATTTCTGTTTTCTACTGACATTCAACCACTGATGTCACACGGACTACTTTGTCGATCATCTTGGTACTTTTCTGGACCTTGAACGTGGTAGTTACCTTGCTGTCTATGGGAGGGTCAGAGAGCCCTCAGATTTCCTCAAAAATATCTTAAATTGTGTTCTGAAGATGAACGAAGGTCTTACGGGTTTCGAACAACACGAGGGTGAGTAATTAATGACAGAATTTGCATTTTTGGGTGAACTAACCCTTTAAATGTAACTTAATCTTTAAAAACACTAATAATTAAATAACACTTACAAATGTAATCTTTAGCCAATCTCATAATGAGTATCCATTATTCACATTCTACATTTCACATTTAATGTTGTGATGCCTAAATGAATTAAAGTGTTTTTTAATTTTATTGTTTTATATTTGTATTTATACAAAATAGTATTGGATTTAATATTAACTTTAACTTAAGTTATTAAATACTTTATTTCATATTGACTTCGAATGTCATTTCTAAGTTTCGCATCACAACCTGCGCATGGATGAAATTTCAGACGCCCGTAGGTTTCAGTCCGCTCTCACTCACCTCCATCTCTGATGTTACCCCATCCAGTGATCATGCACTTCATGTCGCTGCTGAACTCCACATTGCCATATGGCAAGCAGACAGGCTGAATGCGGTCGGACCACGTCACAGATGTGGCCAGCTCCACTAGAGCGATATCCTGACCCAGCTGAGGGTCTGTGTAACCCAGAGGAACCACCACACGACGGATCCTATGGCTGGTCTCATCTGGGTTCCAGCCGTTCAGCAGCTGCCGGCCCGCGTAAACCATGTAGGTGGAGATGTCATTAGGGCTGGACGGAGAAGAGAAATTGAGAGAAATAAATATATATATATATATATATATATATATATAT